CCTATATGATTTTGACATACAGATCTTTATGTAAAGAACACTAAAATAATGAAGGTCTCCAAAAGAGAATTCGAAAAAGAATCAAAATTTCTTCATGGTTCTTCGATTGAATCCAGTGAAAGCATTTGAACATTAACTTGTATTCCTGGAAAAGAATTTTCTTTAGGACAACAGAGTATTCGCTTAGATAGCGTATTGCTAATAATCTCAACTGAAACAGGAATAGAGGTTAAAGCAATTGAAGAAACGGGGATTAGCTTATCCCTGAACTTAACATTGAACGTTAAACAAGGAGGCCATTAATTAGACTGATGTGGCTGTAATAATGCCATGGTGGCCTTGGTAAGCAAACCAAAATCTAGGGCTATAAATGCCTCAGGGTCACAAAATCAAAACGCTAAGGATGACCAATCACAAGCAGCCAGCTAGGCTTTAAGCTGTAGCCAATCAAGTAATTTCCTTTCTTTGCTTCTGCACTTTCTCCATATGTGTCTTTCCCCTGGCTCCTGTAGGGGGAGCGCTCCTAACCGCTTTGGGTTAGGTGCTGCCCAGTTTTAATTGATTTTTGCTCAAATAAACTCTTAAAATTTTTAATATACCTCAGTTTATCTTTTAACATCTCTTACAGTCTTATTCAAATATTATATTAACTATGGTTTGGGCTAGAATAGATGCCAGTTTATTTACTGATGTATTATAAACTGCAGGGTGAACTGTATCTACACTTACTTGGATTTCCTGGGATGTGGAAAAAGCTGATACTCTTCTCAGGATACTCTCCCAAGGATAGCTTCATTCCAGCCAAAGGCCCAATGAAAGTGGATAAGAAAGTAGGGAGACATGGAGTGGGAGTGGCTTCCATGGGTTTTCATCAGAGTGGTCTCAGGATAACAGGATTTTCCTTCTTTCCTTCTTCCTTCCTGAAGGAAGGAATCTAGATGGGCCTTGACGTTCTAAGAAAATCTCAGCACGGCCATCTGGGAGGTCTTCAGCCAAAGTGACACTAGAGGAATCCCTGATCTCCCAGGAACAGACCTGCCTTAGTATCCCTGCCACACCCAGTCATTGGCTCAAGCCCACTGGGAAGGCATGGCCCTAGCACAAATAAGGTAGTGGGTTCCGGAGCTTAGCAGCTGGGGCCATTAGTTACACTTTCAGCAGTCAGAGATCTAAGAAACATATTCTCATGGCCACCACAGCAATGTACATATAATGGTCTTAATTTACCTTGAGTAGTGTTAATCATACTACTTTCCAATTTTCTTTATCTATTTAATATATAATAATAGAAATCACTGTTTGAGTGTGCACCATGTGGCAGACACTGTTAAAATCTTTAAATGCATTATGTCATTTCACACTCACAAACACCCTGCTATTATTCCCATTTTACAGAGGATTACTTAATAAGTTTCTTGCTCAGACAAGCTATGATGGACTATTATGTCATCTTGGTTAAACCTAAAGCTATATTTTCCAGAGTCCACTCACCTTATGGTCCCCCTACCTATAGAGTTAGCCAAAAGAACTTGCAAGAGGTTTGAAAATTAGTGCTGCAGCAGACATTACTCTCTGAAAGTTGTTTTGCAGCCAGATGAGGTGACGGACAGATGAAGTGGTCATCAGTGACATCGAGCGTGTCTTGGTTCTCCTCTGCTCTGCTGGTACATCTTCTTCTGGTCTGCTGGCCCTGATGATCAATAGTGGCCTCATGCAGACCCCCAGACGCTTGGCTATGGCCTCCTGGAGTTGGTCTCCATAGAAAGAACAACTCTCCATAAAGCTTTCCATGGGATCTTCTTTTATGGTTCTAATTGAGCAATTGGGTGTACTTGCCTTCTCAGACTGGCTGCTTGCTAACTTCTCTGATCTTCTAGACTCTCCCTTCCAGATCTTCACTTTCCTAGCTCTTCCCACAATTGCAAAGTCTAATTCCTATAATAGAGCCCTTTTCCCAGAACACATAGGGATTCTCCTCCCCTGCCTGAATTCTGACTGATAGAGTAACAGTGCAATAAGCATCTGTTGAATGAATGGGCAGTGTATTGCCTAGCCTAGGGATTGAGATCTATGAGGTGGGCCTTCAGATTCTGATATCTCATGCTTTGGATTAAAGCAAGCACAATCCATTTGTTTCAAATGCCAAATATGCAAGAAGAAAACTGACCAGAAGTCATCAAGATTAAAGTACCTTACTTGTTTTCCCATACAAGAGTTCATCCTACCATTTCACAATATGTGATGTGTGGGGTCAAAATTTTGCCAAAAAAAATTAAATAAATATAAATACCTACAAATGTACCTGGTTGAAACCCCAGATTTTTGTATCCTAGAAAGTAAAGGAATGCATTTAAGTCAAGGAAATTTTAAGAGCAGGTATGATCAGTCAAGCTCCTAATATTAAATAATTTTTAATGTGTCTAAAATTGCCTGTGAAATATATCTTCAAGGTGCTGAATGGAGTTCTTTAACATCACTATGTCAATATATAAAAGTGAGTGTTGAAGAATATCTTTCAAAAATAGTACCTTTGCCATAATTCATATCCAACTTTTTATCTGAGACTAATTTTATAAGACATTTGTCTCATATGTTTTTGAACAATATAGAATCAAAATGAAAAATATTACCAATGGTGCTGTCATACCAACCTGGGGGGAAAAACATAGAGCCATAATAGTCACACAGTTCTTTTCTGTGCTTGTTCTATTTACCTGTTGTCTCAGCCCCAAATCTATCCTTCTATAGGCCTCTGCAAGGTACAGCTTTGCCAGCTGATCTCCTATTGGGTTCTGCCAATAGGGGTCACTAGAGGGAGTACACAAGCGGGGCAGGAAGGGCAGAAAATATCTCCTTCCTCTTGTTTTTTCTCTCAGCAATACCTGGCATCAATAATTTACCCCAAAAGTGATTACTTATTCCCACTCCTTTTGGCACTGCCAGAACAGGTCTCATTATATATGCCTTAGAGGAACCAGAACCAACCAGGTGGGACCCTGATTAGAGGTCAGAGCCTCAGCTCTATGAAACTCCCGTCTAAGCTGCTGCTCAAGTAACTTCCATCTTTTCCCTTTTGTCCCCACAGACCTTTGGGTCAGTCCTTGCTTGCTCTTATTAGCTCTGAGTTTACCCCAATGTTCCCTTTTTGCTCTGAAGGCCTCCAACAGCTCTGTCACCATTCCCTATATTAAATCCTCCGTGTGGAAACAACGTGAATTCTGTTTTCCTGACTGGGCCCTGTCTGATATACTCACTGTTATATGGCTTCTAGCAAATAGAAAGGGGCTTATATCTCCTTCCCTGCCTCCTTCTTCTCCTCAACTATTTATGAGTGTTTCTAGGGTTTCAAATGCCAAATATGCAAGAAGAAAACTGACCAGAAGTCATCAAGATTAAAGTACCTTACTTGTTTTCCCATACAAGAGTTCATCCTACCGTTTCACAATATGTGATGTGTGGGGTCAAAATTTTGCCAAAAAAAATTAAATAAATATAAATACCTACAAATGTACCTGGTTGAAACCCCAGATTTTTGTATCCTAGAAAGTAAAGGAATGCATTTAAGTCAAGGAAATTTTAAGAGCAGGTATGATCAGTCAAGCTCAAGCTCAAGTCAAGGGTATGTCTTAAATGTCCTCAAGAAACATCCTATCAGCTACTATGGCACATCTGCAATTTTCTTCTGCTTCCCAGTTCCTTGGGATTTCTGCTACCAAGGCCTTGAAAGCTGTGAAACTTAGGTCCTGCTGATGGGCATCAAAGATGAGATTGCCCTTAAAGGCCCAAATATGGACCTACTACTCAATTTGCTGCTCAATCTGCTGCGCCTGCTCCTTGCTTCAGAAATATCCATCATAGTATAACCTCCACTCTCCAGGGCTGCTTTCTTTGACATACTGTACATATTATTTTTGTGTTGGACTCTCAGTATCTCATAAACATGTAAGAAACAGCTTTCACTTTTGCAGTCTGTTCTTTTATAGGTCCTACCCTATGGTAGAGGTCTGAGTCATAGGGCTGAGCTGAAGGGCAATCTGTGTCACTGATAGAGTGAAGTACTCAGAGTTACCCACATTCCCACAGAGGGGAAGAGGTCCCACACCCACGCCTGCCCTACTTCAACCATGTTATCATCAATTTTATCTGTTTTATTTTCATTTCCTCTGAAGATTTCTTTAGAACAAAGGAGTCTTCTGCTACAAAAAGATTTTCAAAACTACTAGCATAGAACCTTCAGATGTGCCCAAACTTATCTAAATCCAAAGATAAAAATACCTAAGTTTCAAGCTAAGACCACTACTGCAAACATAAAAAAATATTTACATGGCCCATGATTCTTAGGATTCAATATAAAAATTTCCCCCAAGTTTTATAACATTTAAAAAGAATAAATTTCCCTCTTATCTGTTAAAGAATATTGCTGTGTGTACATGACCTCCCAGGAAACTCAAGGTCTACATTCCTTGAAATTGTATTTGTGGGTCCAAAGAACTTATTAGAGAACATGTGGTAGCTACACTTAGTGCTTTGGAGGCTCCAGAGTACAAGAACTCCCATCAATTAAAAAGATCATAAATCAGAATGCCTGGATTTCACTAGATAAAGAAGAGAAAATTAAGAAATGTTTTGAGCTTCAAAGATTTCTAATAAGACATTGCACTTTGCATTAACATGCGTTAGTTTCAAGGAGTAAATGAAAATTGCATATGAAAGGGATTTGAAAGCTACAAAGTACTAACAAAAGTGAGGTGCAGGTAGTTGAAGTGCTTTTCTCAAGAAAAGTGAATACCTGGGAAAATATTTGAAAAGGTAAAAAAGAAAAGAAAGGGAAATGAAGATATAGAAATTTAAAAGAAATCAGAACTCTTTATCAGTGCAAGCCATATAAAAACAGAATTTTTTAAAATTGACTTACTTCTGGGGCTGGCCCAGTGGCTGAGTGGTTAAGTTCACGTGCTGGGCTTCAGCGGCCCAGGGTTCACAGATTCAGATCCCAAGCACAGACCTAGCACTGCTCATCAAGCCATACTGTGGCGGCATCCTACATAAAATAGAGCAAGATTGGCAACAGATGTTAGCTCAGGGCCAATCCTCCTCAGACACACACACACACAAATATATATATATATATATATATATAGACTTACTTCTGTCAAAGTGATAAATTCACTGCCTATTAGTGTTTTTCAGATAAAGAAAGCAAAATATTATTCTTCAAACATTGAGCCATTTACTTATGATATTTGTAATAATTTCTGTGTAGTTCCATAGATTTTTCACATATTTTTTTCCCAAAGGAAAATGGTTCTTAATAGACATTTCTATAGAAATTTTTTTTTTTTGTCTGAGGAAGATTCACAGCCACAGCATGGCTGCTGATGAGTGGTGTAGGATCACACCCGGGAACCGAACCTGGGCTGCCGAAGTGGAGCATGCTGAACTCAACTACCAGGCCACAGGGCTGGCCCCACCACAGAGTTGTTTGATGTGTTCTATCCTCATGGATTTCAAAATGGATTGCTCTAATGTAGATTTTTCTCTAATATGTTGTCCAACTTAATCTCATAGTTAGCTTGATGGTTTTCACATGTGTATTTAGTTAGGATAAATATTCTTTATTGCCTATGATGTGTCTTTTAATTGGTAACACCTGACTCACATTTAGTTTTCTTATTTGTGATCCATTTAATCCAGTAGGAATAAATGAGACTGCTAATAGCTTTAGTGACTACTCCTTGACCCTTGTAAATATGTATCATTCATGGACTCATTTGCATTAACTCAACGTTTATCGTTTATACTTTGACACAATCTGTACCGTAATGGCACCACAAAGACATGGTGAGTATTTCTGATCTCTGGGTTGATCAGACAATAATTTCCAACGACTTTATAATACTTTATAATATATATATACACCACATCTTCTTTATCCAATCATCAGCTGATGGGCCTTGGGTTGCTTCTACATGTTGGCTTTTGTGAATACTGCTGCAATTAACATAGGGGTGCACAAGTGTCTTTTAATTGCTGATTTCCAGTTCTTCAGATAAATACCCAGTAGTATAATAGCTGGGTCACATGGTATTTCAATTTTTAATTTTTTGAGAAATCTCTATACTGTTTTCCATGGTGGCTTCACCAGTTTGTATTCCCACCAGCAGCATATGAGGGTTCGCTTTTCTCCACATCCTCTCCAACATTTGTTATTTTTTTGTCATGGTAATTATAGCCATTCTAACAGGCGTAAGGTGCTATCTCATTGTTGTTTTGATTTGCATTTCCCTGATGATTAGTGATGTTGAACATCTTTTCCTGTGCCTATTGGCCATTCGTATATCTTCTTTGGAAAAATGTCTGTTCATATCCTCTGCCCATTTTTTGATTGGGTTGTTTGTTCTTTTGTTGTTGAGTTGCATGAAGAACCCTGGGATTTTAACCAAGCACATGAACACCCAGAATAAAGATTTCATTTCTCAGCCTTCCTTGAAGCTAGATATAGCCATTCAATTAAATTCTAGTCCATAGGGTATGGGTAAAAGTAATAGGCAACTTCTAGATCTGGCCTCTAAAAGAGTACACTGCGCTGTCTTCTTCCTTTCTTACCAGCTGGAATGTGGATGTGATGGTGAGATCTGGAGCAGCCGTATTTGGCCATGAGCTATAGACTACATGTTAATAAAGATGGAAAGTGCTTTATCCAGTTCTGAACTACTCTTACATGAACTAAGAGAGGAGTAACCTATTTTATTTAGGTGACTGTTATTTTGACTTTTGTTACATCCAAACAAGTACCCTAACTCATAAAACCCAAATACATAAAAATTCCATACTAGGCTATTGAATAGAGTGGTAACTCTGGCTCAACTACTTATTATCAATATGAATTTGAACAAATTACTTAAAGTCTCATATCTTCAGTTTCCTTTCCCTTCTATAAAATGTGTGTTGCTGTGAGGATTAACAGTTAATTCGTGTAAGTACTCACCTCTGTGCTTGACACAAAGTAGGCCTTCAAAAATATTAGCTAGGGGGCCAGCCTGGTGGCATAGTGGTTAAGGTCATGCACTCTGTTTCAGCAGCCCAGGGTTCACGGGTTCAGATGCCTGACACAGACCTATACATTGCTCGTCAAGCCATGCTATGTTGGCATCCCACACACAAAATAGAGGAAGATCCACTGACAAATTTTCTAGGTTAAATTTTTCTATGGTATAGAACTTTGTAATCTTTATTACTTTCTGGCTTTTAGTTGGATTGGATTCTAGAATTGACTTTTAAGTAAAAACCTTAACTTTATCCATAGGGACATCTTGTTTCATTTACATGAAAAGGTAGATGGACCTTCTATTGAGGCCCATTCCTGGAGGCTCTCTAATTTTCACTCAAGTTTGTCAACCTATTTCCACCTTGAAGTCTATGGACCTTGAACAGACATCTAGAATATATCCATGCTGGTAACATTTTAAAGATCATTTCCTTTAAACCATGCTACCAAAACATTCTCAATAGCTTTACTACAAGAAGTAATAATCACTAATCTTGAGCATGACTTCTTTGAGCATAGGATATAGAGTTCCCTAATTACACTGGATCAGTTTTTCTGAAAGTGTCGTTCAGTAAACTAAAGGTGTTGCACAAAAGATGGTTTCCTGATCAAACAAATCTATGAAATCCTAAGTCGAACAGTGTTAAACAGGTTTCTTGTTTTCAGGACTCCTGTGAAAGCTTTAATATAATAATATATGTCATAAATCTTTAGGTGAGAGTACTGATTGAAATATTTTCCAAACTTACCTGATCAAGTAGCTCTTGTTTTTGTAAAGCATTGTATAGAACTAACATGAAACCCTAGTTTGGAAATGCTAATTTTATGGTTGGCTTAAGCAGGGCCAGTGGGGAGATGAATGGGTTTTCTGTTGGCACAACCATCCTGTCAGATTAAACCGTTAGTCAAGTGGTTTCTTGGATCTATACTTTGCTTCTTAAATCCCTTTAGACAGTATGCATTAACATAAGGAACATTCCTAGAGCCTATTCTCCGGACCAATTATGACTTTCTCTTTCTCCATTGAACCTTGCCACCAAGGTTCCTTTAGGCCTAATAGCCAAGAACCTTAATTTTTTCAAGGTTTCAATATGCTGTCTTGGCTATAAAGCAAATCCACTTGCTCTGAATTCACCATGATCCTAATGTGGCTTGTGGATGACCTGCTTGGTAATATTATTGACTGAACTCATTTTTTCTCAGGAGCTATTATGAGTAATAAGATTACTTTCAATGCTCAAAAATGCCACAAGTTACCTGTAAACTGGAATTCAAAATGCATGGCTGGACTCCTAGAAATCATAACCAAATAAACTATAAATTTCATTAACTGTCAGAAGAAGTTTGAATAACGACATTGTTGACTATATTATTGATACAATATGCAACAAGGCATGTGAGGGAGTGGATGGACTACTTGAATACTTGGAGTTGCTATTGTTTTGTATTGTTTAATAGGAAGATTACAGTCATGTAGAGGCCTGTACCCAAGACACACCTTGCTCAGTGAAAGATTTTTATCAATAACACAGAGATGAAAGCTGTCGTTAAAGTATTATCTGGGCAAACTTTTGGCTACGGATGCAAGAATCCATTTTAATAGCCCGGCTCCACTCACTCCTTAAGCTAATAACACTCTGGTCCCAAGGGAAGGTGATGTAGGAACTACAGTGAGCTAGGCCTACGCATCTGACAGTGGTACTAAGCTTGAGTTCCAGCTCTACCATTTACAAGGTGTGTGAACTTTGGCAAGTTATTTAAACTCGTAAACCTCTAAGTACTCTCATCTATAAAATTAGGCTAATAATAGAATCTAATTGATAGAGTTAGTGTGAGGATTAAGAGAGATAGTTTATGTGCTGAGCTTGCATATGGGTGGTTAATAAATATGACCCTAGTATCAATAAATATGAGTAGTAGTTGATAAATACGACCGCCCACACATGCACGCATGCATGCACTCCTGCAAAAATGAAAGACCTCTACCTTGTTGATGTAGTGGCATGTTCTTTTTATAATTTGTGGCTACCCAATGATGTACTTGGCCACAGGCTCTTGCTTATTATTCTTAGTCACGCTAGATGTAGTATGTAAAGCAGTTTGGAGTCTTAGCCTTGAAGATGGTAGGACAGCAGTTCACACATCTGAAGTAAATGCTGGCTGTGTATCTTGGATCTTGCTGAAGGTTGTGGAGAGTATGGGTGAAGTTTGAGGTAAGAACTCAGTCTGTTGAAAGAAGGAAACAATGTATTAAAAAGGGGCTGAGGAGGGGTGTCAAAAGCTGCCGGCTGAGAGGAAGTATTTCCAACATTTCAGGAGCAGCAGGTAGAGCCCAGACTCCAGCAGTGGTTGGTGGAGGGGGGCTGCAGAGTGGAGAGGGGACAGAGTCCGGAGAACTAGGAGAGAAAGACTCAGAAAATTACCGCTGCGCCCACCACTTAAGACACTGCCCTTCCTCTCATTCCCCTTTTCACATTGACTTGACCCTTGAAGGGTCTGATGCAGCAGCTAGTAAATGAGAGAAGAGGGAAGCAAGCGAGAGAAAAAAGTCTAGCCCTCTGAGCCTCCCCACCACCCCAAGGAAGGCCTCCAGACCTGAAGCAGGCTTGTGGGAAAGGGGGTGGTAATTGAGGACAGTGCATTTTATATTAAATGAACAGTACTGGAATTAGTCTGTTATGCTAGCTCAGATTGGACATTTTTTATTACATAAATTAAATTGTTCTTCTCATTAACACAGATCAGAAAATTTAGGGGAATTGCCCTATCTTTCATTCAGGAGCAGGAGTAAGTCTAAAAACACAGTTTGGAAGGGACAATGAAAGAAAGACCAGAGTTCTTTATGTTTAATAATTCTCTATTGAATTCAGCTGATTTAATACAATATTTACACATCTGATGATTGTATAAATGTTTTGCTTTTTATTTGAAAATGCACTCTGCACTTGATGAAGATAATCTAATGAATTAAATTGGTGTCCTTTTCTTTTTATTATTGCTTTAGCAAAAATTGTCCCCACCCAGGGCATGAAGACAAGGGACTGATTCCAGTGCTATTTTACTTTCTTGCTTTTCTGGAGATGAATGAAAAACAAAAATAACTTCCTTTTTCAGTGTCCTAGTAACTGTAACGAAAAAGCCAAGCATTCACGGCTGAATGAACGCATGAGCAGTAGTTCCTTTACAAGAGAAAGAAAATTCAGTCAGGCATGACTGCCACGGTCTCCTTACTATGCTTACAGAATGTCCTGGGCAGACACCATGTATTCTGATTGCTAAACCAGACTGAAGCTGAAGCAGTGCGGGTATGAGAGTTTCCACAGGAAAAAGTACAAAACCATTACACAGGATGCCACAGAAGCCATGTGGAGTGAAGGAAATGCAAGCTCGAGAGTCAGGTCTTTGAAGGTCTGAGCACCTGCTGTTCAGCATAACCGAGACGGTATGTCATATTTCACACATAGAAACTGATCAAATGGCAGATGGATATCTTTTCTAAAGAAACTGACAACACAACCTTTTCAGACAGAGAAACAGGATATATGGATCTTTGTTTTCTAAACTAAGAACAGCAGACACGGATGGCATAGAAGTTACCAGTAACCAATGTACAAACTGTACATGAAGTCAATGATGAATGAACTTTAAAATCATGTGTCCATTTCTGGCACTCTTAGATATGAAGAGAATAATTTAGCATCTTCGCTTTCAAGTCTACCAAAACTTTTCATGAAGTGCTAGGACATTCTTATCCTCTGTTCCCCTTCCTTCAATCTATTTTTAATTACCTTGTTTGGGAGAAATTATTGAATTTGTTTATGTAACACAAAAGAGGAACCTCACAATTAAAAAATTAAATCTTCCCTAACATTATAATACTATTGTAGAGACTGGAAGGATGAATTGCCTTGATTGTCCATTTTATTTCCCTAAACACAGAGAGGTATGGAATTACAAATACCAAATAATTTTTATCAATCCCTAAAAAAGCTGGTGGGTTAGTCATATCTATTATTTGAAAGTCATAATCTACAAATGCACATATGCCCTGAAATTTCTATAGATTAGACTATGTACTTCTTTTTGATAGGTAGAATAGAAGAGTCATTAAAAGGATGGCCCCTGGAATCATACATATGTGCTACCAAATAATACATTTACAGTTTAACCTCTCTGCATCTCAGTTTATTCAGCTGATACAGGGGCATAATAATAATACCTTCCATCAAGAATTGTTTTGAAGACTAGATAAGATAGGGAAATAATTATGTTCTCCCCTGCTTCAATCCCTTCAATGACTTCCCATCCCCAAACCCAGACATGACCTATAAGGCTCCACATAATGTACCCGCCTGTCCTTCCAAATTCATCTTGTTCTACTTTATTCACTATCTGACTGAAAGACCTTCTTTCAGTTCCTCACAAGTTCCTGGTTTTTGCTGCCTCTGAGGTTTTACAAATGCTCTTCTTTGCCTGGAACATATCTCTGTCCTCCCACAAGCACACACAGCACACAGAGCTCACTCCCACCCAACCTTTACTTCTCAGTTTAAACATCACTTGTTTAAAGAGAACTCTTCTGATTTACCAGTCAAAACCCATTCTTACCCTTTATTATTCTCATGCATAGAATCTTGTTCATTCCTAATACCAGAAGCATTGGGGTACTGTAGGGGTGCTAGCTGGCATGCCCCCTTTAAAACCACATGTCCTTGAGGCTCCTTGTCAGGGCTATGTGCCAGCACTCATGGTGATAATAGTCCTGGGCTTGGCCAACACAGCTGCTTTCTCATGGGAGAGTTAGCACAGAGACCCTCATGGTCTGAGGGAACACGGAGGCCCTCTGGGGTGGGGGATGCCTCTGATCCTTTGAATGCAGGTCATACAGGACAGTCCCCCTTGGCAAGCATGCAGGCTTTGCTCTTCTGCCTACTTAAGCAAGCTTCTCTCAGGGAGCGATAGTGGATGCACATCACCTGTTCAGCCAGCCGCCACTGGACCTTCCCTGTAAGTAACTCCCCAGTAAAGCCATATGTTTTGTTCACTGTCTCCAGGTTGTTGGTCTCTTGGCAACCTAGCCCACTTTGCTCACTCAGCTGGGCGTGTGGCGGAACAGGTACCTTGTTTGAAATGCATGAAAAGATAGACAGAAATCAGGCAGATGAGGAACCAAATGTTACTTTTATTACTTTTAAACAACACGTCAGGCTCTGGAAGTTATGGATAAATTCAAACCTCCCATAGGCCTTACAGCTTGGAAGAGCAAGACAGAATTCTGGCTCCCTGTGAGAAAGAGGAGATGAAGGAGCAAGGCTCCTAAGGCTAGTTCCTCCTTCCAAATACACAGAATAAATCACTTACTACACCTCACAGGGCAGAATGTGTGGACAGAGGGGCATGGGGGCAAAGAGAGGCCAGGAGGGTTAGCAACTCCTCTGCATGAAGGAAAGGTCAGGAGCAGGGGAAAAGCATTTCCTCCATTCTCAATTAAAATGTATTAATTTGAATCATATGCAGTGACCATTTTTGAGGTTAAATATAGGCAAATAGCAAATTCATATGGTTTAAACATAATCATACATATGTATGTCATATACACATGTAAATATACAAATGTATATGTATGAAAGCATAGATATACTATGTAGTATATCTTATATATTTATCTCTGTATATGTATATTATACATATAGTATATTCTTACTATATGTTATATATATATCTCTATATGTGTGTATAATAACATAGACGCCTGCCATATATATATATATGTATATATATATGTAATTATTTGGGTAATATTTGCCTCTGTTATCATACTGTAAGCTCCAAAAAGATAGTGAAGTATGTCTACTTTGTTTATCTCTGCATCTCTGTGACTCATCACATCTGACAATACCTACAAAAATTAATTGAATGAATAATAGCTGCAAAGTGTTTAACAGGTTATTTGACTTATTTTAAGAGCTCCATAGATGTTAGCTATGATGATCATGCTGCTGCTGCTTCTGCTGATAAAACATTTTTAATATGTTTGGTATCAACTTTTGATCTAGACTGTATATTCTAAGATTTCCATTTCAGAAATCTACCAGCTTGCCTCAAGGGTCACACTTACAGCTTCTCTTTTCACTGATCATAATTTCAGGCAACATCCCACAGTTCAATCTCCACAGCTCCTACGTTATAACCTCACAGAGAAACAGGGTGAGTAGATGCAATAGCAAACTAGAGAGTGTACATCCGGTCCAAAAAGCGCAGCCAGTTTTCCAATCTGTGAAGACCTGCTTTGTGGGACTGCGAGTTCAGTGTTACCAGACATTGTGATTTTTCAAGAGAAACTTAAAATTCATATTGTAATGTAAAATCTTCTAAATCTGGGAAACTAATTAAAAATTGCTGAGGTCTATGTGGTCTGAAAGATACTTGGACTTCGTGCTGCCCCGGGGGCAGCTAGTTTGTGACCTCTGCTTCTATGCAATTGTCTTGTGGCATGAGGTGTTATCAATCCTCTTCTTGTTTTTCATTTATCTCTTACTCTGATATTATTCTGTGCTTTCAAACAAGTTTTTCAACAATTTCATTTCATTGCTTTATAAGGGATCTATTTATAGCTGTTGCTTTTGTATCTCTATCTCTCTATCTTTTGTTTCTCTAAATCCCTTCCCCTTTCTTTTTTAGATGTTAGAAGAGCTTTCGAGGTTAATTATCTATTATAAAGGTAGCATTTTGAGCAAAAAGGAAAAAAGTGGAGCTATACAGTATTTTCAAGCTACAGCACACAGAAATAGAATTTTGTGATGTGTTTAGTAAACTCAATTTCAGAAAGATATGAGAAAACTTGACATATTACAATGGTTTTACATTCAGTTGATGTATTTCATCTGCAAATCCATTGGGCAATAGTTAGGCTTTCTGGATTTCTCTTAATGATTTTTCCTTAAGGAACTTTTTTGCTTAGAAAAATAAAATTAGATTTTTATGTTAGCAGTGGCAGAAACTATTGGCTGTCAACAACTCTAAAATGCAATATATTTTCAGATACATGAATATTTCCCATACCATGAGAAAAAATATATCACTGTCACCTAAACTATGACATAGCACTATTCACTGAGAATTTTTATTATGTATATACATGAAAATGCTCTTTGAGAATTATTTAGACATAGATTTTTATCAAATATCATATGCTCTGTTTCCTTGCTTTTCTGCAGAAACCTAGTATAATCCTGTTAAGACATTTCAAATGACAATTAAATTCAACGTGTAGCATTGTCAATACAAGTAACTTAAATGAAGTGGTGACAACACAAACATCTGTGATCAAGTTTTTTTATTTAAAAAATTTTTTTTTGAGGAAGATTAGCCCTGAGTTAACTACTGCCAATCCTCCTCCTTTTGCTGAGGAAGACTGGCCCTGAGCTAACAGCCGTGCCCATCTTCCTCTACTTTTATATGTGGGACACCTACCACAGCATGGTTTTTGCCAAGTGGTGCCATGTCCACATCCCCGATCTGAACCAGTGAACCCCAGGCCACGGAGAAGCAGAACGTGCGAACTTAACCACTGCACCACCGGGCTGGCCCCTGTGATCAAGTTTATGGACATGTGGGCAATGACAACGATGCTTTGACTACTGCCTGGCCAACAACAATTCATTTTAAGATGAGTCCCCATTTCAGCAGTAGTAAAATGTAAAAATCTGTGTATTGGTATCAATGAAATCCTCTAATCTCTACTGCCTAAATGAGTTTCTGAAATATTAGTTTTACAGACAAACTTATGATCACTTTTTTCTTGGTATTATTTAACAGTTTCTGAAAACCTTATATTTTAAAATAAATTACTTCCACAATACCATCAACTTTTGGTCAATCATTGAATTGGAAATTTTACACCAGTCCTTCGTCTCCTTTAGACATCTACTAAGCCATTCTCTGGTGATGAGAAAGAGTTAAAAAAAACTTTCAAAGCAACTCTCAAAACTTGTAACAAAGTACCAAAAGGAGACAACTTAATGAATATAAGCATTTAAATTTAATAAAACAAACATTTATCTAAGGCCTTATGATAGGTACTTCAGGGAATTCAAATCAAAATAAAAGATTCCAAGTAGCCACAATGCAAGGCTGACTGACAAGAGCACTATGTAAGGGTGATGGTATTTCAGGAATACAGATGGTAATAAGAAAAGCTTCTCAATATCCCCAATGCAAAGCCTACTGACAAGGGTACCTCAATAGTGGTAAACACAAAAGGCAATGGGAAAATCCAAGAAGGAGCGTTGTATGTGCCTGAATATGTCACATCATTTTCCCCTAAAAATTAGGCACCAGAAAAGAGGTCTTTGTGGTTGAAACTTTAGAAGTCTTCTCTGGGGCATCAGAGCAGAATGCTTAAGGCATTAGACTTTGAATCCACATTACATGGGTTCAAATCCTTTCTCCCTTATTTACTGCTTGTGAGTTCTTAGATGAGACACCTTTTTGTGTCTATTTCTTTACCAGCTAAAAAAGGAGATAATGATAGTATCTACCACCTAGCCCCTTGAGAGGATTAAAAGAGTTCATAATGTGTAACAATGTCTGGTACATGGAATCTATGTATCACAGGATCTCTACCTCCCTTCAATTCTTGTACATTAGTCTGAACTGCAAACCAGTAACCTACTGGAGTGGGGCTAGCGGTGTGTAGCCTGAAACATCCTCAATCGATTCTAGTTTAGGATACACACTGAGGTCATCTGAGAAAATTGGTTTAAAAAATAAGGAGGTGAAGAGATTTAAAACAGATTAAGTAGTTATTTGTGGGGGGACATGACCTCACAATTTTAAGTGTTCCATGTTAGTACAAGCATCATTTTAAAAGCCATTCAAAAAAACAAAAACTGGTGGAGATCACTAATGTACATATTTGAGATAAATGAGAAAAAACAACTTCTTAATATAAAGCAAGTGGGAACTTGTGGTTTGTAATAAAATCCCCAGTGACAGAATCATAAAAGGATTCAGAAAATTAAGTATCATCAAAAATTCAGACAGAAGTGAAAATAATATGCTCTGAAAAAAAAAAAAACACTGATGATTCAAAATGTGGCTTTCATGATGAAGTCATTGATGTCAAAGTTGCATTTTAAAATTTGGATAAGGGCCGGCCTGGTGGCGTAGTGGTTAAGTGCTTAAGTTCCATTTTGGTGGCCCGGGATTTGCCGGTTCTGATTCCGGGTGTGGACATGGCACCACTTGGCAAGCCATGCTGTGGTAGGCGTCCCACATATAAAGTGGAGGAAGATGGGCATGGATGTTAGCTCAGGGCCAGTCTTCCTCAGCAAAAAGAGGAGGATTGGCAGCAGTTAGCTCAGGGCTGATCTTCCTCAAAAAAAAAAAAGGATTAAAATTTGGATAAAATTGTTTTATAATATATGAATGGAAAAGTAGTATTTGTGCATTAATATGTAATTTTACTTTTATAAATATTTATTTAAAATGATGAATTAAATATTATAAGTAGACATCTATTTCATCTACATTCTTAAAACTTTATATTTGGCAAAAATAACATTGGATTTTCCTTTAGAGGAAAATCGAGAGATTACTTTAAATTCTGTTGTGTAAATAATTCTGGGTATCAGAGATTTGGAAAGACTTGAGAGGGAGGTAAAATTTGAACCTAGTCTTGAAGGATAACTGGAGAAGATAGGATAGAACTCCATGTACTGAGGGACTACTATTTTCTGGGAGCCTTAGATATGCAATCACATTAAATTCTCTTAGGTATTATTATTTCCAGTTTACAGATAGGGAAATTGAGACTCAGATAAGTTAATGAGTTTACTCAAAATGCCGCAACCTACCCGATCAGGCTTCATTTTGAGCACAGGCCATTTCAGTTCCTGCACTGCCCTTTCCCTAGGAGGCCATCCAGTGCAGAGGGTGGACCCTGAGAACACTGGGTTGGAATTCTTTCTTCCTTATGGTCCTACTCAACCTCTCTTTCTAATTTTTTTTTATCACGAGGATAATAACACTTTCTCTTCAAGGAGCTGCTGAGATAGTTAAATGAACTTTTATGAGTAAAGTGCTGAGAATAGCAATGGGCGGGAGTAAATATTCTATGGGTGTTAGCCTCCATGACATAAGGAAAACGGGAAGGAGGAAAAGGAGGGAGAGGAGGAGGAGAGGAGGATTTCCACTGTCTCAAACTGCCTCCTTCAGAAGCAGAGTGCACTCTGGGTAGGAGAGATGGGACCAGCAAAGACACATGGTCTGGCAAGGACATAGCTATACTTGCTGTCCTACCAAAATTCAAGGAAATGGGGTTGGGAGGGGTCACCTTGGAATAAATCCAGCCTGGATGGAAATTACTGGGAATATATACTCCAATGGCCTTGGCAGTAAACAGATTTTCATACCTTAATTCTTATAAAGTTAATTTTCCTTCTACTTTGTTCCCTGAATGCCTCACTGTGAGGGCTGCTAAATAAATATAGCCTAGGAATACAGCCTATATGTGTTCAATTTATCCACTATTTACTACTTAA